GAAATTTAATATTTTCTCCAAATCGGCCAATAACAAGATTTTGTGTTCATATGGTTATATATCTGCGGATGAGGAGTGGTAGTAGAATTTTCCCACAACGACATGAGTAGAGCTGGCGTTTCCCTTGAATTTCACATAGCCTTCCTTTACCATAAAGTTTTCTCATCCATGGTGGACTGCAATTTCGACCTCGCCTAGGCTTTATCAAAACCCCTAGCGATAGTCAAGCAATGGCAGTGCAGCGTGTAATCCCGACAAGTTAACCTCTACGCTATATTGTCACGAATGTCCTTGGGTCACGGAGCAGATGTGAATTTCAAGGAATGTCAGGCATTTTCCAACATCACATTCTGTGGTGGGATAGTAGATGAAGCAAACCTATATTTGTTATAGCAATCGACGACATTGTTATATTTCGTTTTGAGTAGGTTTTCAAAGATCTGATTTACTAGCAGTCTCAAAAACCTACTCAAATCGAATATCTATTTCCCAAAACCAAAACGCAAGGTAATTTTCGCTCAGTTTCTAGTGAAGCCAATGACCTATTCAAACGAAATACCAAATATTGACTTATAAACAATTTTAAACGGCCAAAATAAAACGGACCAAAGTGAACAGGAAAATTAATAATCACAAAAACAGGAAAGTTAACCTGGACTAGAATGCCCAAAATTGTAGAAAGAGACTTCGGTCGAACGAATCTGGTTTCCAGATGAGGCAGAGCTGCATTTCAAGGAGTTTGAGTATGGCTGCTGCTGCTGTTGGTGTTGCCAAGAGAATTCGTTAATTGACAGAGGCGATGGGTGATCTAATGCGAAAGAACAGCACGAGGCAGGCCTGGAAGACTGGCAAAGAGTGTTAATAGCGAGAGGCGTTGAAGATTCGACCTTGTGATCCATTCTGTCCGATAGAGAAGAGAGCCGATGTTGAAGTAGAGTGATCTCAGAGAGGCCATGCGACTCAACACCCGTCTAGGAAGTATAAGTCAGGCAAAGATCGAGAGGGATAATAATTAATTGCAGGATTTGTAATGTACTCAAAAAGTGATTTGGAATTCAAGCTACTAAATCAATTGTTTATGAAATCCTTTCCATTAGCTATAATACCATCAGCAAGTTAATACCTAACCGGAGCCTAAAACTTAGCCTACGCAAAATAAGACTAAGGAAAATATGAGTTTGAATTAATTCTAAGCATGCATCCCTAAACAACTTGCCCGTACCTAAAAATCAGGATAAACTGAGGAGTAAGTACTATAAGTAAGACGATTAAAAGATAGGTCGTAGTGAGGCTCAAAAGCTTAATAATTGAAGTGTCAACTATGGATTGCAAATACTTCACTTAACTAATAAATTGTACCGTGAAAGCAATAAAAAGGATTTTTCTCAATGAATATGATTGTGTATCTGGCCTCGTCAAGGCCCCAGCAGCCATTTCAAAGAGAGGCTATGTTAACCAAGTTGCATTATATTAGATCTTAGCAATACAGAAAAGAATAAGAGTGGGCCTTCTTCGCTACCCAACAAGTAATATGTTGTGTAAAGTGAGGAATTCTTATTTAGTCATAGGTAGCTCAGCTCATGGATCTTTAACAAAAAATACTCGTCAGGATAACTACTACTGGAGTGCCCAAGTAGAAAGTTATTTCTAAGGTATGAAGACCAAGATGGTGTGACCTTTTGTGTGGTCGCAGTATCCTTTTGTTGTATAGAAGTTGTTTGACCTTGTTTTCGCAACTTGGTCAT